AGCACTTCGCAGCTTTCCTAAGATGATGTTATGAAATTTTCTGCTTAGTGACAGCATTTAGATCGAGTGGGAAGGGACGTGTCATGAGAACGGACTAACGCCAATAAAAACGGGACAGGTACAGCATCCCGCTGCTCATTGCCACCAGTTCTATGTGTCGCAATCAGCACTTCGCAGCTTTCCTAAGATGATGTTATGAAATTTTCTGCTTAGTGACAGCATTCAGATCGAGTGGGAAGGGACGTGTCATGAGAACGGACTAACGCCAATAAAAACGGGACAGGTACAGCATCCCGCTGCTCATTGCCACCAGTTCTATGTGTCGCAATCAGCACTTCGCAGCTTTCCTAAGATGATGTTATGAAATTTTCTGCTTAGTGACAGCATTCAGATCGAGTGGGAAGGGACGTGTCATGAGAACGGACTAACGCCAATAAAAACGGGACAGGTACAGCATCCCGCTGCTCATTGCCACCAGTTCTATGTGTCGCAATCAGCACTTCGCAGCTTTCCTAAGATGATGTTATGAAATTTTCTGCTTAGTGACAGCATTTTGAACAAGTGCGAAGGGACGTGTCATGAGAACGGAATAACGCCAATAAACGTGACAGATATCGCATCCCGCTGCTCATTGCCACCAGTTCTATGTGTCGCAATCAGCACTTCGCAGCTTTCCTAAGATGATGTTATGAAATTTTCTGCTTAGTGACAGCATTTAGATCGAGTGCGAAGGGCTGCACAGGCGCGTGGGTTTAAAGAAAAGTGCCATCAGGGCTGCAGGCGAGCGCTTCAAGGAAGTAGTTGGCGGTGCTAGCACCCAACCTGCTCGCCCATACAGGCTGATTGAGCGCTCGGACAAAATTCCTAAGGGGGTCGTGGAGGAGATTGCGTGTTTTTGGTACAACAACAGTGTACTCAGTCCACTCGCGAGGGGCAGTGTAAAGATTCCGGGTATTGTTGCCTTGTACTTTCCACGGAGGATAGTCCAAAAAACGTATCGTCAGCTGTACTTGGATTTCCTGCATCAGCACAGCACCGCCTTCCACGTGTCGTTTGGCTTCTTCGCGGGAGCAAAGCCTGGGTACGTCAAACCTTTTAGGATAAGAGGAATTGTAATGTTGTTTCAGCTTCTGGACTGATGTTACATCCATGAAGCTAANATGACTGATCGCAGGCAGTGTTTGTTTTCGTTTAGGGCTGGTCCCTTTTTATTACTCATCAAGTAATAGATTT